AAATTTTGTAGTTAGCTCTTTTATATCATCATTTCTTCCAGTTGCTTTAGCTTCTCTATAGGAAAGTCTCACAGTCTCTTCTGATGTCCAGTTTGGTCTTTTCTATTTGAATGATCTTTTGCTTTATTCATGCATGATGTTCTTGGTGTCATCCTACAACTCTTCTGGTCATTAGTATCTGATGCATCAAATCTGTTCTTGAGATAGTCTTTAAATTCAGGTGGGATATGCTAAGGGTTGTGTTTTGACTCTCCAGCATCATTTCTATCACCAAGACTATATTTTTCTACTACTGATCCTTCCTCTTGGCTTCCACTTTTTGCATTCCAGTCACCAGTAATTATCAATGAATGCACCTTGATTGCATGTTGTTTCAATTTAAACTGAAGAAGTTTGGTAGAATTTTTCAATTTCATCATCATTGACTTTAGTGGTTGGTGCTTAAGTTTGAATAATAGTGCTTTTCCTTGTAGGCATGTGGATGTTATTATCTTTTCACAAACAGCATTGTACTTCAAGATAGATCTTGAAATGTTCTTTTTGTCAATGAATGCAAAGCCATTCCTCTTCAGTTTGTCATTTCCAGCATAGTAATCCATATGATTATCCAATTCAAAATGGATAGAATTTATCACCTGTCCATGTCATCTCACTAATGCCCAGGAATGCTGAAGTTCTAATGTGGTGTACTGTAGGATAAGCACATAAAGCTAACTAACTTCAAGGTGAGTGGTTCAAATCCACCAGCCACACCTTAGAAACCTTATACAGTGTTGCTATGAGTCAAAACTGATTTGATGGCACTTAACATCAACAACAACAACAATGCCTACCATATCGATCTTTCTGTCTTTCTGCATTCCATTTCACTTTGATGGCTCCCATTTTTTAAAAGTTTGTATGTTTTACATTCCATATTCTGATTATTACTGGACATTTGCAGCTATTTCTTCTCATTTTGAGTTGTGCACCATCAACAAAAGAAGGTTCTGAAAGCTTTGTTCCGTTCATATGATTGAGGTCTGCTCTATTTTGAGGACACTACTCTTGTCCA